GGTCATGCTTTCTTATCCATTCAGCTATTCTGTGTCTTTTGATTGGAGCATTTAATCCATTTACGTTTAAGGTTATTATTGATAGGTACTTATTCATTGCCATTTTTGTACCTGTGTTCCTCTCTGTCTCTCACTTTTCCTTCCTTTCCTTAAAGCAGTCCTTTCAGTATTTCTTGTAGGACTGGTTTGGTGGAGGCATATTCTTTTAGACTTCTTTTGCCTTGGAAGCTCTTTATTTGTCCTATCTTGATTGAGAGCCTTGCTGGGTAAAGTAGCCTTGGTTGCAGTCCTCTGGTTCTCATTACTTGGACTATTTCTTATCATTCTCTTCTTGCTTGGAGTGTTTCCATTGAGAAGTCAGTAGCTAACCTTATTGGGGCTCCCTTGTATGTTACTTCTTTTTTCTCCCTTGCTGCTTTTAAGATTCTCTCTTTGTCTTGGAATTTTGCCATTTTGATGATGATGTGTCTTGAAGTGGGCCTCCTTGGGTTCCTCTTGGTTGGGACTCTCTGTGATTCCTGGATTTGTGAGACTTTTTGTCTCATCAAATTAGGGAAATTTTCTCTCATTACTCTTTCAAATATGTTTTCTATCCCTTGTTCTTCTTCTTCTCCTTCTGGTATCCCTAAATTTGGATATTATTACATTTCATATTGTCTTGTATTTCTCTTAATCCCTCTGCATTCTTCCTGAGCCTCTTTTCATTTTCCTGCTCTTTCTGTGAGATGCTTTCTACTTTGTCCTCCAACTCGCTAATCCGATCTACCGCCTCATCTATTCTACTTTTGAAACTTTCTACTGTGTTCTTCAATTTGGAAATTGTATTCTTCATTTCCTCTTGTCCCTTGCTGATAGTTTCTATTTCCTTCTTCATGTTGATATAGTTTGCAGAGAGATCATTATAGCTCCCCTGTAGTTTCTGGTAGCTCATTTGTGAGCTCTTTGAACTTCGTGATAACCAGTGCTTTGAATTCACTATCTGATAGTTGATTAGCCTCTATTTCATCTAACATTCTTTCTGAAGCTTCTGCTTTTTCTTTCATTTGGAGATTGTTTCTTGGTCTTCCCATGGTTTGTGAGACTCTTCTTGTTAGCCTCAGCTTCTAAAATTGATCTGTTCTGACTCCCTGAGTTTATGTTGTGAACCTCTGTGGTATAATACCTGTGAATTTCAGTGGTGCAGACTCCTTCAGCTTTCTTGATGATCTCCGTTTCCACCTACTCTTTTTATTGTGTATGTGTAATCAGTTGTAGGAGGAGGCAAAATGGTTTATGACAGCAGAAGAGTTTTTTATATTTATAGTCACAGCCGGTAGAGAGGAGATAGGCGATCTTTAGGCTATATATTGTGTTAACCGTATTCTTCAGCCCAACTTGCCACTTTTATGAGAGTATGGACAAAAGATAAGCCTCTTGTTGGGGAGGGAAGGCTTGTTAGTTGGAACTAGAAAGCAGTGAGGTTTCAGACGGTCAGATTTTGAGGTAAGGTGAGTGTAAGGAACAGTAAATAGGTGTAGTGTGTGAGCAAATAAAGTTAATCACTACAGTGATAGAATTCAGGGACCTGTACAATGGGCTAAAATCCAGGAGATGTGTTGTGAAGTATTTACTATTATATAGATCAGCTATTATTTACACTAATATTAGAGCAGCACTCATATAACAAACTCTATGTTGATCTTTCTGAGTAGGGGGTATAGAGCTTTAGGTAGTGTGCTAAAGGAAAACAAGTGGCGTGGAGTTTAGAGGATTAGCAAAGCACTGTGGAGGAAAGGACAGGGGGAGCCTGTCTAATTAATAATACAATATAACTACTCAAAACCGAGAAGCCTATACAGAAAGAGGAGGAATACAGAGATATTATTAAAATATAAAAGAAGTAAGAATAATGAAAAAATATGCAACACCTCGTGGCTTCTCTGCTATAGGAAGGTTAAATTTGTCTCTCTGTCTCTACTGTTGAGATGCCCCCTCTTTGGGTCCCATTCTGGTCCTTTCACAGTTCCTGGTTGTTTGTGTCTCTTGTGGGTAAAAGGAAATGAAGCAACAAACAAACAATCAAACAAAAAGGCAGGAGAAGGGAAGCAAAAGCGATGAGTTTAAGAGGAAAGGAAGAAGGACTAAAACAGGGAAAAAGAAAGGAGAGGAGCAAAGTATAGAAAGATAAAGCAGTGATAAAATTAAAAAATATATGATTACTAAACAAACGCACAAAAAAGTTACTAAAAAAGGGAAAAAACCCAAAACAAACAAACAACAATAAAAAACAATAATAACAACAACAACAACAGAGAAACCCTTCCCTTGTTGGTTTCAAACTGTCCAGACTGGTTTTTCTGGTTGCAGCAGGATCTCTCTGTGGGCTGGGATGCCGGCTCAAGTGTGGGCACCAGCCAGGCTACCAGATTGGGGTGTAGGTGCCCGCACACTCGCCAAGCTGCTTGGGTCCCACAGGTTCTGGTAGTGGCCTTCCCAGTCCTGTGTTGGGGACTCAGAGGCTTCTGTGCCTGTGTGCACCCGCCAAGCTGTCTGGGATCTGAGAAACCAGCAAAGTGCCTCCCAGCCCTGTGGCGGTGACCCCGACGTCTCCGCACCCGTGCATGCCTGCCGGGCAGTCCGGGACCAAGAAACCGACAGGGCGCTTCCCAGTCCTGTGGTGAGTCCCCAAATGCCTCTGCTTTCCCCCTGGCTCGCTGCAAAGCCGGGTGGGAAGGAAGCCAAGCTGTTCTGGCAGGAGAACACCTCAGTCCACTTAAGAAAAAACAACCAAAACTCTCCAGACAGCCTGCCTCTCAGTCCAGCCCAGTTCCCAGCGAGACCAGTGAGGCCAATGTGTCTCTCAGTTGAACTGGGCCCTGTGTCTTTGTAACCCTCCCTGTTAATGCAAGTGGGCAAGCAGACCGGTCTCTGCCTGGTGTTGTCCAGTTTTGTTTATACGGGGAGGGGGGGAGCTGCTGGCCCGCGCTGGTGGCCACTGGAGCTGCTGGGTGCCCAGGCTCCTGTGGTAGACACATCTGGTGTTGGTCTCAGACCGATGGCTCTGGTCCCTGGCCATAAAGGCAGTACCAGGGCCATCTGGCCAGGGGTGCTGGCCCCACTGCTGCTTTGTCTTTACTCCGGTCCCCAAGACTCCACTGACCTGACGCTTCCTGGTGTTTCAGCATCTGTCACAGTCTCTGTTCTTTTAATTTCACAAATGCTGGATAACCGATGGATTAGTGTGCTGCTTCTCTATAGATCTGCCAGGATTTTCACCCACGAGTACGGGAGCTAGAATCCGCTCCGTCCTACTCTGTCGCCATCTTCCCAGCACTCTCTATATATTCACTTCTTAGTCTACATTTTTATAAGTTAACATATTCATTTTGACCAAAAAAACCTTTGAAGAATTTTTATTGGGAAAATCACTTTATATTTGGTCATATACAGTTTTGTTTTTTTTTTTAAGATTTTATCTTTAGAGGGGAAGGGAAGGAGAGAAGGAGAAAAATATCAATGTATGGTTGCCTCTCGTGGGTCCCCTGCTGGGAACTGGCCTGCAACCCAGGCATGTGCCCTGACTGGGAATCGAACCTTGATCCTTTCATATACAGTTTTTATTAACACTAAAAAGCCAGACTACAAAACATCTGACTTTTAAAATTAGCCAATACAGGGTGGGACAAAAGTATGATTACAGTTGGTTATATGGAAAATAATACAAAAATTAATAAATAATAAGACAGGAATAAACTCTGTGTTTCATGTACTCACAACTGTAAATATACTGTTTTCCCTACCACGTATAACCCACAGATTTGAAATTTATACTCTAATTTTTTTGTTTTGTTTTGTTTTCTTATTTATTTTTAAAATATATTTTATTGATTATGCCATTGCAGTTGTCCTATTTCCCTCCTTCATTCCCCTCCACCCTGTACACCCCTCCCCCACCATTTCTCCCCCTTTATGACCACGTTTCTCAAGTTCTTTAGATTCTATATTTCCCCTACTATTCTTGCTCTTCCCCCTATCTATTTTCTACCTACTGTCTATGCTATTTATTTTCTGTACCTTCTCCCCCATTCTCCTCCTCCCCACCAAGGCACATCATAATTACATTAGCCAAGATTAAAATGAAGGAGAGAATCCTAGAAGCAGCAAGAGATAAGGGGACAGTCACCTACAAAGTAGCTCCCATCAGATTGTCAGCTGATTTCTCAAAAGAGACCTTACAGGCAAGAAGGGGCTGGAAAGAAGTATTACAAGTCATGATATCCAAAGACCTACAACCAAGATTGCTCTATCCAGCAAAGCTTTCATTCAGAATGGAAGGACAGATAAAGTGCTTCTCAGGTCTAAGATCAAATTCAAGGAGTTCATCATCACCAAGCCCTTATTATATGAAATATTAAAGAGACTTATCTAAGAAAAAGAAGATAAAATTATGAACAGTGAAAGGACAGCAAACTCACAGTTATTAAGAACCACACCTAAAACAAAAGCAAACTAAGAGGACAGCTAGATCAGGAGCAGAACCATAGAAATGGAGATCACATGGAGGGTTATACTCTAATCTTAAAATTTCTTTTGAACACTCTTCATTTAGGGGGAAAATTTTAATGAGCAAGATACAGTAGGTAAAAAAATGCTATATAAGACTTTAATACTGATGTACTAAATAAAATCTACTAATTTATTGTTGGACAGTGAATTAGTTTTTCATTTGATAGTTATTAGAATGAAACTACAGATCAAATACAGACCTCTGAACTAGTGTAATAAAACTTCCCCCTGAATCAGGAGCTTAATATGCACACGAGTCACAGACCCATGCATAAAATGTCTTTTTCTAAACTGTCGAGTATGAAGTACGGAAAAAACTACTGATCCCTAAATGCCTTTTGACCCACATTCTTCTCTATGAAAAACACAACCATCAGCGTATCACTGTTGAGCAATCTCTCTGCAGTTAGTAACTCATGCCTCCAAATACATTATAAAAGAACAATCTGAAATACCTGTATCTCTCCTCTTGCAGGGTCTGAGAAATAAAACCATATTCTCTCTTAAACTGCACCTTCAGCGCCTCGATGTCCTCAGCCAGCTGTGCCTGGGTATCCTTGATCTCCCTCAATTTCTCCACGATCATGGTGAGCTTCCGCTGGCTGTCCAGTGTGCCTGCTCCACCGGCCCCGAACGACTGGTTCCCATTACTGTCTGCCGAGCCCGATGTGCCGCTCGAACACTCGTCGTCGCTGCCATACTTGGGTTTGTCCACGATGGTTGCGCTGCCGCCGTAGCCCCTGGAACTTGCTTCAGGCCTAAACTCCTCTAAGGAATTTTTTAAGTGAGCGATGTTGTCTGCGCTGCCAAACTTATTTCGGATCAAATTGGCAAACTCTCTAGACTTACTGAAGACAAACACAGGTGGAGTGAGGGAGACCCCTGGCATGCCCAACTTACTGCTCTCCATGCTGTGCGGGGCAGTTCGAGACTTGGCCTGGGCGTCTTTCAGAGAGTGTTGGATGTCCTTCAGGTTGTCTTTGGAAATGTCCTTTGAGCTTCTGGAGGCTCCATTCTGTTCAATCTCCCTGAGCTTTCTGTGGTACTGCTCTAACTTCTTCTGCAGCTGGGCAATGGAATGAGCCGATTTCTGATTCTTCTTCTCAAAGACTTGTTTGATACGGCTGGCCTGCTGTTTGTCGGCGCTGCTGACTAGTTTCAGATACTCAGCAACGTTCCCGTCACGCGATGTCTGCTCGATTTTGATCTGCTCTGTTACCTTAAGAATTTTTTGTTTCAGGCTGTCTGCGCTTAGTTTGACCTTGTGGAAGTCCAGGATGCCATCTGGTACATCAAAGTTGAGGTTGGTGTCCGACCCGCCTCGGCGTATGTTCAGGGGCAGACTTAGGGTAGTCATGTCATGTCGTTCTACCTGAAAAAGACGGGGCAGGAGAAGCACTGTAAGGTTTGAAGTCTAGGAGACAGTTACTGTGATAAAACTTGTATACACAAAACAGACATACGTTAAGTCCCAGATTTTTTAAAAACTCCCTACTGTCCTCTCAGGTGGAACACAGGACAGCCCAACTCCTTCCCATGTCTGTGCACTAACTGTGAGTCAGGTGTCCCAGGGTATCCAGTGTCCTGTCTGGTAAGATGGCCACTTTTGGTTGCCAGAGTAGAAATGCACAATGGAATGAGGTTACCAGTCAGTCCTGGTTTCCAAAAGTGCCCGGGGAACCGGGACACCTGCCATCACTCACAGTGAACGTCACCCTTGTGGAAAGTGCATCCAATTCAGAACTCAATCATTTAATAGGAGAATGGAAAAAAAAAGGATGAAAGATAAAAGAAAGTAAAGTTCCAGGAGACACATTCATCTATACAAGAAATTTTCTTAATGAAGTCATTAAGCAGATGTGATGAAATAAAATGGTATAAGATTAATTTTAATAATTGAATAATACAACAATAGTATTTAGATGTGGAAACAACCACAAACCATAACCAAATCACAAGTGATTTCATAAAACAATACGAATGCTAAGACCATGTGAAATAGTTTCTCATTCAAGGGCCACCTGGGGAAGAGAACTGCAAAGTTGAGCATCTTGGCAGGGGCGGCAGGGGCGGGCGGGGTGCCGACAGGGGTGGTGCTGGTCGTGCTCTAGAAAGGAAGACAAAGGCGGTCTGTGTGCCAGACACTGCGGATGTGCGTAGGGTTGTCTTGTCTGATCCTCATGACCAAGCCTGGCAAAGAATGTGTCAGAGCCACAGAGGGAGTAGAACCTGAGACTTAAAGGAGTCGGATTTGGATTGAATCACCCTAACTCAGGTCCTCTTTCCAGTCAAGACTCATTATGACCTGTGTCCCCAGAGGACTAAAAAGAGGTCTTTGCCGTGTATGAATACATTCTCTAAACAAAGATTCATAAGATCTAAACGGAAGTATCTTATTTGTCAAGTTAACAACACTTTGATTACAATAATGCCTTGATGTAAAGTCTCAAGTGGGAGATAAGATAATACGCAGCCCAAGTTACCCTTTTTTTTAAAAGAGGACAGTATGCTGACATAGTAAAAATTTATAAAATAATAACTCAAAAAACCTCATATTGCCTAAGTGGCTGAGATTCAAATGAGGACTGTTGCCAACAGCACACATGAACAGCCCGAATGAACTGGGTTCATTGAACATGAACTGGGTTGGATTTTTCCAATCCAGCGCTACTTTCCAGAGCAGGGAGCCCAGCAGCACAGTGGGACACCACCCCAGGCTGGTGGGCCAGGCCTCCTTTGTGACTTAGAGAAGTTTACCAGTATTTCGTGGCCTCTCTCTTCCCACACACAACTTTGCCATGCAATCAGCGACGCTGGTGGTTTTATCTGGCACAAGAGCAACAGGCTGAATGGCACTAAATGCCAAAGCACTATCAGACTGGAGAAGAGGATAAAGGAACTGTGACTTCACCTGGCCAAGATGGAGCGATGGGTGTAAGGACTAAAGAAGATATATAATAATCATCAAGTCCTAGAGACACGAGTAGAGAAAATACAAGGAAGCTATGTATCTATCTAGGGTTCCCCAGCAGACCCAAAAAGGAATAGGCTCAAAGTACAGTAATAAAGAATGCCTGAAAACCCAGCAAATGTTTATTTTGGACAGATAGGCTACTAGTACAATCGTGGGGCTGGGAAATTGATCTTAATAAAGACATCTAATCTAATCATGCTTCTCTACTTTTCAGAAATTTTGGCTCCCTACTGCCTCTCAAATAACACAACCTGGCCACTGTAAGGCCACAACTTACCTGTCAGGCTTCACCTTGTACCTGATGGACGCCAGTCATCTTGAGGGAACCATGCAGCCTGAAGTTCCCAGAATTATCTATATGAATTTCCTACGGCCTTCCTCCTGTGTCGAATACTGACAATGCCTACCACCCATCCACCTCTGCTGATGAAAATCCTACATACGCTGTAAGATTCATTTCAAATGCCATTTCTTCTATGAAGATTTTCCGAGTCCCACTGGAAAGCTGCCTTTCCTTTCTGCGGTCCTCCACGGTGCCTTTGAGGCACCACTCTGCTTCTTTATCGCCTGCACAAGGATTCCAACCCCACAGGATGCAGGCTCCTCAAGGGAGAGATGGCTCACACCTGTACCCAGCCTGCACTTGCACCGCCCCTTATTCACAGGGGCTGTCAATAAAATGTCTGCTGCACTACAAATGACATCATTCTTCATTGTTCAGGAGGCTACCATGAAGTCATTTAAGATACATTTTAATAGAATCAAAAAGTGATTTTGGAAGTTCTGCCCACACAGACCTGACCACTCCAGGTAAAGATGTTTCCTAATACCCAGGTAATAAATTCTACATCACTTCACACTGATTCAAGTAAATGAAGATCAATGTGTAACAACATACACAAACACAAATAAGGGCTTTTAAGTATAGTTCATACTCAGAAAAGAGAACATTTATTATGTATAAAACCATGAATTTCCGCAAACCAAACACATTACGTAACTAGGACCCAGTTAAAAAAGAAAAACAGAACAGAAACTTCCTCGTGCCCCTGTCAGTCACACAACTACATCACTCCCACCTCCAGGGTAACCTGAACCATCTTCAGCATTCTTGTCTTTTTTTAACTCTACATTGTTTGTGAGATTCATACAAACTTGCTCTTGCCCTCCTTGTGCTCACTAGAATAGATTAAGCTATTAAAAAAAACCCACCCAACCAACCTGCTTGGCATTCTCAATTAAGAGTTCCACCACCACACTTGAAGATACAGAGGGAGTTCTACCTCACCGGCTGCAGCAGAAAATCACCACCTGTTCCTCCTTTCTCATCCACACCGCAGCTGGCCACCCAGCCACTCTGGCACCTCACGGAGCGGCCTCGTTCTCTTCTACACTGCTGGGCCAGGACAGCCTCCTACAGACAGGAACATTTACACACACAGGGCGGGCTGACTCTTGGCTCACTTAGAGTTACAACAATGCTTGGCAGGTCCTCAAGAATCCAGGTTGAGGGAAGCTATGACATTTAAAGCTCAAATCAATCACTCTTACTGCTCGTCAGCAAAATTGTTAGAAATGTTTGATAAGGATGAAAAGCTGGACCTACTGCTGGGTCACTCCTTGCAGCCTTCAAAGCCCCACCTCTGTGGGGTAATTAGGAGTCAGCAAACATCAGATGCCTATACACTCCCTGAACGCAAACTGCAAGTTCATGTACATGCTGGGAAGAAAGCCATGCAAGTCCTCCGTCCAACCTTCCGTCCAGACTTGGCACTGAGAGCAACAGTGAGCTGTTTCAGGGCTGCGGCACGGGGAGAGGACAAAGGTGCACACATCCCTGGAGCCAGCGCGTGCGTGGACTGCGTGGGTCAGGAGACATGCTCCAATTTTGGCACTGACATTTACCAGCTACTCTGTTTTAGGTAAATCAAATCACATCTGTGGTTTTAGATCCCAATCTACAGACTAAGGAGATGGAACCAGACTACTCAATGCTAACACTGCAAAATTCCATGGAAAGTAATCCCATTCCATGAGATGAGCCTTTACTGCCAGACAGTATCCAGGAGTAGTCATGGCCCAGGGTCTGGAGGCAGACTGCTTTGCTTTCCATCTCGGTACCACTCTTATGAGCTGTGTGCCCGTGGAGAAATGACTTAGCCTCTCTATGCCTCAGTTTCCTCTTCTGTAAAATGGAGATGAATCTTCAAAGGGTTGTTGTAAGGAAAAATAAGATAACGCACATAACATGCTTAAAGACTTCCTGGCACAGAGAATGGTTTCAATAATATTTGCTACTGTTATCATTCCAATTTCATTTAAAAATGTACTCACATGTAAAAACCAAAAGGAACAATGGTTATTTTTGTGCCATGGGGTTATGAAGAGTCATTCTTTATATTATGCTTTCATATGTTCCAATTTAAAAAAATAATAAACACGAATTACTGCTCTGGCAGAAAAGATGCTATTTTCTAAAATGACTGCTAGCCTCTTTCAGTTCTCAGAATTACTTGGCTATTATTACCTTACATGAAAGGCGGAACACCAGCAGCCCAGTGAAAGCCATTTCTAATAATGTTTTCCTTCAGGCAGTAGACACATTTCCACTGTCACCTCAATGTTCTGGAACAAAGGCTAAGGAAAAGCCAAAGCCCTGGACAGACGTCAAAAGCTGACACTGTGTCATCTCTGCAACAGTCCAAGCCTCCAGCACAACGTTAAGGAAGCCCCACTCCCTCCACTCCATCATTACCAGGGCGGCTCAAACATAGTGTTCAGGTGCCCAGAGCTGTCCCTGTGACATTTCATATTTACCCCCCCAGAGCTCCAGAGGGAGAGGAACGAAAAGGGAAGGAGAGCACAGGCACAGGCACACCACCCAAACTGGCGGGGGGCGGGGCTCTTGTGGACTCCTGGATGGCGTGGACTGAGGCAGGAGTCTCCTGAGGCTCTGGGAGTCACTGAGGGTCAGCCTGTACAGGGGCATAAAGAGACAGCAGAGTTTAGGGGACAGATAACAACGGCCTGCTTAGTCCCCGAGCCAGGTACAATGAGCCTTTGCTTAAAGAAAACCTGCAAGAGTCCGGCACATCAACACCAGGCAACGGATATTTCATAGCACACCTGAGGGCGGCTCTACAGACAGGCCCGTGTGGAGCCGCATGTTCGGCGTTCAGCCTTTCCCAGGTCTTTGTGGCCCAGGGGTCTGAGTCCATGCAGCTGGCATTCTGTGCTCCTTGTAGCTGAAATCTAACTTCACGTCCAGAGTGAAGGCTGCTTGTGTGGTGTGCCACTCAGAATGTGCTAGGCTTTGCTGCAGTTACAAAAAATGCCAAAATATCGATGGCTTGAAAAAAAAGTTTATTTCTTATTCAGGCTAACAAATCTGCCATCAGCTGAGAGACCCGGGCTGTGATGGAGCATCTGCCATGGAGGATGTTGCTGGTGCTCCTGGCAGAGCAGGGAGCCTGGTGCATTGTCCACTGGCTCCTAGAAGCTTCTGCCAGAAGACACGCCTGTGACTTCTCCACTCAATACGCTGGCCCCACGGGAAGTACAGGTCAGGACAGTACGATCCTACCACATACCCGGGAGAAAAATTTCCTATTAGTGGCATGCACAATATCTTATTTGTTAAAAGCTCAGACAGGTTTTACTGTTAGTACTATTTTACAAATAAGAAAACCAGCCACAGAGTTCAGTGAACTGTCTCAGGCACATAGCTTGTAAATGGCAGAGCGAGGACTGAAATCTGCTCACAGTCCCCAGAGCCTGCCCCCTTGACTTGAATGACTGAGTACTTTTACTACGAGTCAGACGTTGTGCTAAAGACTTTTTTATACATTCATATATTATCTACACCAATCCTATGTTATTAAAAAAGCAAGGCTTATGAAGAACACACGTGTTTCCTAAGGTCCCTGAGTAATAAATAGCTAGCTGGGCCCCAACTCAGGTACATAAAATATATGCCAGATGTTGAGAGATCTGTACAGCTAAGTCACTGGTCATGTGGGAGTCCATTCTGCAGTGTCCCCGACATGGTTATCCAGACCTGTGTGGAAGCGCTGGGCTTGGTTTAGACTGCTCTGTCAGAAATTTCTCCCTGAGGCTGACCTTGAACTCATCATTTAGGTAGCTTCCTACCCAACTTCCATCATCCATGGCCCTGGTGTTGGTGCCTGGAGCCACACCAGATCAGGTTTGATACACATATAATCAACTTTTCTTCATCCATGCTCTAAAATTTAAACAGTGACTTAGGCGAAATAATTGATGACGATAAAAATAGCTCATTGCTTTTATCAAAACCATGCCCAGGCATTTACAACCATGAAGAGAAGACAGAGAGACCGAAGGTTAGAATCAGAAATACAAGAGCAGGGACCTATGAAGAAGAAGCAGAGCTCTGACAGGCGAGGGGTGACGTTGGACTCTGGGAAAGGCACCGGGCAGATGAGCCCCGGGCTTGCCTACGGGGGAGGGGAGATGCCCTGCCCTGCGCTAGGTGACATCACGGAGGGAAGAAGCAGAGCCCTGGAGGACCGTACTTCGATTCATATCTACGTCCTGAAGGACTTGAGCTTAATCACTTTCCTACTGGTAATGAACCTGACACCACGGAGCCCCCTCCCCTCGTGCTTGCTGAGGTCACCTGACACACCCTGAGAAACACCTCTCTGGTCGGCAGGCTGGAGCCCAGGGATGCCAACCAGTCGTGGGTGCGGCACCAAACTCTGGGTTTTCACTCTTGCTAAGTGAGCTAATCTGTACTGGAAACACCACTCTGAAGGCTTCATAGATAAGCATCCTCACCGTGACATAATTAACACACCCTTAGGGACACCCTCACAGAATATTCAATACCTGTATCTTAGAAGCCACTTTCCCCACGACATGCTAGAAATGAAAAATTTATAATAACCTTCTCCGAGCATCCAGAAGGATATTAGTAAAGTGTCTTAGTGACATGTTTGTTCTAATTTGTTTACACAAGGAACATTTCCTCTTGTAGTTCAAGCCTGACAATAGTACACCCTGAACCCGAAAGGAGTTCACAGTGTACAGAACGAAAATTGAGTCACTAGTTCTACCATAAAGGGTTTATTTTCCCAATCCTCTTCCTTTCTTGACATCACTGACAAAAAGAATCCATAGTGTGAAAAGTTCTATTTATTGACTGCGGGTGAAGTGAAATCTCATCACTCTGGAATCGAGGAACACTGGGGAGGGCAGCGGAGGACAGGACCTTTGAGAGCCAACCCTTATCCACCGACACTGCTGATCAACAGCGTGAACTGTTCGAGGCTCTCAGAAAACAAATTCTTCAAATATCTTCAGGCACTTACAAACACTTGATACTATAATTAAAATTAATTATCTTCTCATTAAGCCTCTATCAGGCAACAGTGGTAACCTACTTTGTTTTGAGTTACATATACTAGAAAATACATATTTCTTCTACATAATTTATAACTCACACTTTCCATCAATAGAAACTAATCCCTCACAAAAGTAAGTCTGACCTGGTAAAGATTTACTGTATACTGTATAATTTACATCATACAAGTCAAATTAAAGGGGGGAAAAGGCCAGATTTTAAAAGACCACGCCTTGAAGGGTACAACAGAAAGGCCATGGCAATGAAAATCAAGTAACTTATAATGAGTAGTAACGGTGGGTGAAGAACAGCCAAGGGTCCCCTGGGGGGGGGACTGTAGAGGGGTTTAAGGTAACACCCAAACCTATTTCTTTCTTCCTTTTGCAATCCTTACCAAGGATATGTTTACTGTTTATTGATTTTAGAGAGAGAGAGGAAGGGAGGGAGGGAGGGAGGGAGAGAGAGAGAGAAATAGAGAGAGAGACTGGATGCCTCCCACACACACCCTGACCAGAATGAAATCTGCTACCTTTTGGTGCACAGACAATGCTCCAACGAACCGTGTCACTCAGCCGGAGCACCAAGGAGGGCTGTTTCTAAGAAGAGGAAGGAGTCTCTGGGGCCCCTACATGCTTTGAAGATAGGCAGGTTTGGGAAAGGGAAGTGAGCACTTATCATCCGACCCTCACTAAGAATTCAGTCCTCTGCAAGGAAGGGTTCGTGTTCCTTCTTGCAGGGAGATGGGGAGCTCTCACAAAGGAGAAGCAGGAAGCTCTAATTTTAGGGCAAACGTAAAATAAACGTCATTGGGGTTTTTAGTTCCAACATTCAGTAGCTAGGCAAGGGGTAAGTGGGAATCCCTGGGGCACTAAACTAATTTCTGAGGGGTTCTGGACTCTTTCTCACTCATGCTTGTTATTCCCCCATTGGTTCCTGGCAGTGTCTGTCGGCAAAACCTTCCCAGGAAGAGGACTCAAGTGCTCGGCTGGAGGGCTGAGAGGTGGGCATACTACATCCACTCCAAGAGAAGTGCCCCCAGGAGCTGAAGGTTTAGTTGCAGTTATAAAGAAGGAAGAAAAATGACTCTCCAAGGCCCTCAGCCAGTGAACAGAGAATGCCAACCCTGACTGCTGGGGTCTGAGAAGCAGCCTGTGGGTGGAACCCAGGAATGGGACACCAGGCTTTCTGAACTGCACTTATTCACTGCCTCCCTGACCCCCAAAACACAGATGGTGAGCCTTCCTGGGAGGGACACGGGCTTAACTAAGTTTCTGAATGACAGCTACAAGTCCAACACTGTCTAACCTAG